ATTTCCTTTCAGACAGCAGCTGGTTTCACTTCACCTAAATCAACCTGCACAGAAAACCCTGTAGTCAGGGTTTAGTCAGCTCTGTGTTTGCTGATGCTGAAACAGTCACCTGGCCACCCGCTGGTGCATTCAAGGGCATTCTGGAAAACTTAAGACAGAAGGTAAAAACAAAGCGAACGCTTTCTTGTATCAGTTGTGTTGCTGAGGTTCTCTTCTATGTGTGTGTTTGTCAGAATCCGATCCAAAACAAAGTGGAACCTCTGGTATTCTCCCTGAATGTTTCTCTCTACGAGAAGCTGCCCAAGAAAAGAAACACCATACAGGATTTGAAACGCTTTCCTGTGCTGAGCCAGACACCCCGACCCATCAGAACCCAGGTCAGAACCAATCAGGACCTGTTTGAACCCATAGAACCCAGGTCAAAATTAGAATTGTGAACATAAACCAGAGGAACTCAGCTCAGAACCAACAGAAACTGAATGATACCAAATCAGAATCCTTTTAAAAAATCTGTACCTAGGTAAGAACACATCAGAATCCAGGTCATAACCGATATAATTCCACTGAACTCCAGTTTAAATTACACCCACATGTAAAACTGTTTGAATGTTCTTTTAGTGAAGTTGAATTTTTTCCTCTATCAGATTCATATCCAGAAAGCCTGTGGTTCTGATAACCGCTGCCATAGTAACCTGCAGATGACAGCCCAGTTCACAGATGAGAACCAGAAACCCTTCACCATGTGAGTGAACCCTTCCTGCATCAGACTGGAGGTCCACTTAAAGACAGCATAAGCCTGTAAACCTCTCATATTTTAATTCTTGGTACATCTGTTTTATTGTGGAATATGTGACACAGTGACTCCAGGTGATTTTTGTCTTTTTATCTGGTTGGTCTACCTGGAGCCTACAACTTCTAGTTTACTAATTTTACCATTACCTCCATTGATAACATGCTACATTAGTCTTCTATTAAATGGTGGCATGGCTGTGAGTTTGGTCAAATCCTTTGACTTGGGACTTGAGCCTTTACTTAGACCTGCACTTAAAGACATGGGATTTGATTTGGACTCACCCCAAAAGACTTGGGACTTGTCTTGGACTTGCCCTAAAAGAACTGATGACTTGATTTGAGGCCTAATTTGGATGTAAAATAAAATTACCTGACTTGAATTGAGCCTTGGTATACACTTACCCCTAAAGCCAAAGACACAAAAGGCAGCAAGATTTGACATGAGACCTAACTTGGACTTGCCCTAAAACTCTTGACAACAGTACCTTTATAGAACTACTTGATTCTTGTTTTAAGTTTTGACTTGAAGTATCTCTTAAAGGACTGGGCACTTCATTTGAAACCTGAGGTGGACTTGCCCCAAATACTACTTGATTTGAAACTTGGCCTGAAGGACTCGGGACTTGATTCCTGATTACAATTAACATTGTATGAAGGCCACAATATGCTAACCCCTGGACATAGGAATAAAGCTTAACCTCTCACACTAAGGTGGCATATTTGAAACATATTAAAGCTCCAAACACTGCTTGAGGTTTTATGACAGAGATCTTCACTCAGTAATTGGCTACCATGAACCTGTGAACAGAGTTCCCTGCAGACCTCCATCTTTCATGTTATTAATTCAGGATAAGACCCCAAAACCTTACAATTAACAACAACCTGCAGTTATTGTGGCAGCTACCCCCTTAAACCCTCAGATGTTACTGTACTGAGAAATTTTTATAAACCAGTACACTCTGGCTCTTTGAGGAAGTGTTAAATTTAGTCTGAAATAACCAATGAAAGCTGTGTCACTGGACACTTAAGACCATATTTGTTTTGCACAGTATTTAGTTGACATAAGGTGTTATTAAGGATAGGAAATTTAAAGAATAGTGTGTATTATGTAGCAAGTAAACAGTTGGATATTTTAGATAAACCCTTTTCTGATATAACTGTCTAAAAATCATTTTAGCAGTTCAATCTGGGCCTTCTGTCAACCCTGTGAACTGTTATACAACCTCAGACACTCACTAGTTCAAAGTTCAAAGTGCTTATTTGTCATATGCACAGTTAGGAAACGTGTTTCCCTGTATAATGAAATTCTTACTTTGCCGTCCACATGAATGCCACAAAATACAAATGAAATATAAAGTAAATAAATAAGTAACACAAAATCTAAGGCACTTTAAGCAGCAACAGATGCAGCAATATAATAAAAAAATATATAAGCATATAACAGAATGTATGCTGCATGGGAGCAGCATGTGCAGCAGAGTCATTGTGCAATTATGCATGTAACACAAATAAGTAACACAAAATCTAGGACACTTTAAGCAGCAACAAATGCAGCAATATAATAAAAGGATATAATAGAGAATGTAAGCTGCATGGGAGCATCATGTGCAGCATTCAACAGTACAACACTGGGAATTAGGTAATCAAGCACTGAGAATTGCATGCTTATACATGTGGCCTTAACCATTACCACTTAAAAGTGTAAACCCTAGTCTCCATGTCCAGAGATCAGGTTGTCAGGGCCCTTGCCTTCAACTGCTGCACGATCCACTATGCACCAGCCTCTTACAGATCCTCCTGCAGGTGGTGGGCCCACGGGAGGACATCCCCACGTCACTCGTTTGGGCTAATCCCGACCGGGCCCCATAAGGGGAGGCCTGGCCACCAGGCACTCATTCGAGCCCCAACCCCGGGCCAGGCTCCAGGGTGGGGTCCCAGCTGCGGCATGCCGGGTGACGTCATGGTCCTTGATTTTAGTCTATTCATAAAGGGCTTTTTGAACTGCTCTTAGTCTCCCCTGTCACCTAGGACGTGTTTGCCTTGGGAGACCCTACCAGGGGCATATAGCCCCCGACAACATAGCTCCTAGGATCACTTGGGTACTCAAACCTCTCTGCCACAATAAGGTGGTGGTTCAAGGAGCCAAAATTAGCTTTCTCCGCAGGGTGGCGGGATGCCCCCTTAGAGATGGGGTGAGGAGCTTGGTCACCCGGGAAGAGCTCAGAGTAAAACTGCTGCTCCTCCACATCAAGAGGAGCCAGCTGAGGTGGCTTGGGCATCTGTTTTGGATACCTCCTGGGCACCTTCCTAGCGAGGTGTTTGTTCAAGGCATGCCTCACCGGGAGGAGGAAGACCCAGGACACACTGGAGGGACTATGTCTCTTGGCTGGCCTGGGAACGCCTTGGTATCCCCCCGGAGGAGCTGGAGGAAGTGTCTAGGGGGAGGCAAGTCTGGGCAACTCTGCTTAGACTGCTGCCCCCGTTTGGAAGTGTAAACCCACTAAAATCATAGGAATGTCAATAACATCAAACTTGACTCAATAACCACAGAGTATTAAACCTTTTCAGGAATCTTTTATATAAGCTTAAAAGAGTTGCAGCAAAGCAGTGAGCAATAAAATATAAACCTTAAAATCATAAAATCATCAGTAATTTTCTTGATTGACTTACAAATTAAATAATCAAAAATGCTATCTCTAAACATCACTCTAAAATATTATACTGATTAAAATGATTATGGCTGAGCTAAGCTCTTGATCTGAATAAAAGTCAAAGGTTTGCTCACGGTCACCAGTCCTCAGCTGGCTCTGGGTGGGGTGGTGGTGGCAGGTTGGGCAATTGTTTGTTCCTCCTTTTCCTTTTGGCCAGGATTCAAGCTTTCACAAGGAAAAACATAATAATTCAAAAAATTAAAACTTATCAGGAAAATCTCATTCTCCTCTGGTTCAATTTTCTAAACTCTCAGAGAGAATTATGGAAAATTTTCAGGTAGACCATGTACTTCTTGGTCAAATCTTCTGTAACTCAGGAACCAAAAAGACATGAGAATGTCTGACACAGCTGTCTTCTTTTGGTCCATATCTTCTTTCTTCTGAGAAACATAAAGACATGAAAATGTCTAAAAACAGTCTTTTTTCCAAGCCATCTTTCCCCACCCATAAACAAAGCAGCAGTGGCTATCACCCCTTCTTCATTAATCAGCTTTTAAACAGGAATTTGGTCTTCCAGCTGAACTGTGAGGCTCTGCCACAGTTCCATCGTCCCACGCCGATATTCATCTCACCCTCACAAGCCAGGACTGCGGTTTTTCCAGACTGCCCCTCCAGTCCTCGGTCTCCTGGAAGTCAGATGGTCAACTGGTCAGAGCCTCCAGCCGCAGCAGTGAAAGAACTCTGCGTTCCTCTTTTTGCCTTGGATTCTGGTCAGTAGTCTTTGTCCTCTCATCCAGCCAGATGCTGCAGTTTGCAGTTAATACCTTATTTGGCGTGAAAAGTTGTATTCTTCAGAACTATTGCATATTTTTTTACTGTCACAGCTCAAGTCCACTGCCCATAACTGGCCTCCACCATCATTGTGATCCACCCTTTCTCTGTGATTCAGCATTTTCACTCTATGATTTAGATTCTGAATGTACTTTAGACTTCTAAATGTACCTTTTAAATCACAATCCTTTCACATTTTATTCTTACACATTCACTAACGATTATTTCAATCAAAACAGTAGTAAGTAGTAAGTAAGTAAACTTTATTTATATAGCACCTTTCATACATAAAATCACAAAGTGCTTCACAAGATCAACAAAAGTAGAATAAACAAAATAATATAACAAAAAACAAAAAATAAAATAAGAGACATAAACATATTTAAAACCAAAACTAAAAATCAACTAAAGGCCTGTCTAAAAAATTGTGTCTTCAACTGCTTCTTAAAACCATCAACAGATTCAGCCATGTGTAAAGACAGGGGCAATGCATTCCACAGTCTAGGAGCCACAACCTGAAACGACAGGTCCCCCCTAGTCTTCAAACGGAGTTTTGGGGATCATCAAGGTGGCCTGACTTAAGGAATGGAGAACACACTTTGGAGAGTATGGGGTCAACAGATCAACAATATACTGAGGAACCTGACCATGAAGTGCTCTAAATGTTAGCACTAAAATTTTAAAATCAATCCTAAACTTAACTGGTAACCAGTGAAGTGAATATAAGACAGGCGTAATATGAGCTCTTCTAGAGGTTCCTGTAAGAAGCCTCACTGCAGCCTTCTGCACAATCTGAAGATAATTTAAGGCTGACTTATTACAACAAATAAGAAGGGAATTACAATATTCAACGCGTGAAGAAAAAACACATGAATAATCATTTCCAAATCAACCTTTGATAACATTTTCCTTAATTTAGAGATGTTCCTCAGGTGATAAAAACAATTCTTAACCACCTTCTTGACCCCTGTGGGACACCACATGACAAACTAGCCACATCAGACATGACATTATTTATAGCAACATTGAAAGTTCGATCGCTAAGGTAGGAAGAGAACCATTGGAGAACAGATCCAGAGAGCCCTAATTCAAACTGAAGCGATCCATCAAGATTCCATGATCAACGATGTCAAAAGCAGATATTAAATCTAATAAAACCAGGACTGTATAACGACCAGAGTCCGTGGCCATCCTTATGTCACTTGAGACCTTAAGTAGGGCAGTCTCAGTGGAATGTATCTTCCGAAAACTTGACTGAAATTCATCAAACAGTTTATTCTGCTCCATGAAAGTAATCAACTGTCCTGCTACCACTTTTTCCAAAATCTTTGCCATAAATGGAAGCTTTGATATCGGACTATAATTTTTTGGCTTAGAGTGATCAAGACTCGATTTTTTAAGAATTGGATTTACAATCACATGTTTAAAATAACTAGGGACAGTTCCAGTCTCAAGTGAGAGATTCATTAGTTTCACAATCCAGGGACCAATCAAATCAAACAAACTTAAGGTTCAGCTCCACCATCCTATTCTTAAGATGCAGCCTGTGTACCTCCAACTTGTTGTGCTTCCACAGACGCTCTATTTTACGGCAGTCTCTTTTGAGGCAACAGATGGCTTCATTCATCCAAGGACAGGGTTTTTTTTTTATGACAAACAGAATATTGTCTAACCGGTGCAACATAATTTAAAATATCCAAACAATGGCTGTTAAAACAGCTCATAAATGTTTCAGTATCCTTACAGTTGGAAAAGGAACTTGGGTCAAACAACTGCAAAAATCCATCAAGTGCAGCTTGATTAAGAACACGTTTTTGAACCAGCATTTTGTGAACAGGCGGCAAAATATAGCCAGATACATTAAAAAGCACACAACAATGATCACTTATATGAATGTCCGCAACACTTAGGTGATCAATATCCATCCAAAAGAAAAGACTAAATCCAAAGTATTGCCTTTTTTATGGGTAGGACCAGAAACGTGCTGTTTAAAATTGAAAGACTCCATAAGCACTAAAAACTCTGCTGCCACAGAGCAGGAAGGGTCATCAACATGTAAGTTAAAATCCCCAAGGATTAGAACACCCTGAAATTTAATAATAGATGATAAAAAATCAGAGAACTCAAAAAACATGTGCAGAGCCAGGAGGTTGGTAAATCAAAATACAATAAAACGAGTCAATGTGCCCAACCTTACTCATTTGGAGCTTGAATGAGTTAAAAATATCAGTGTTCATTAGCCTGCAACAAAAACGGCTCTGGTAAAGAAGCGCAAGCCCGCCACCATGTTGTGAGACCCGGGGAGTCCCGAACACGGAACTATCTGGGGGGCAGAGCTCTTTCGGATGAAAATTCTCCTGTTCCCGCTGCAAAGACTCTGTCAGGAACAGGAAATCCAAATGTTCTTTTATAAAAAAGGCATTAAGAATGAAGACCTTGTTTGCTATAGAGCGGGCATTGAACAGAGCAAACCTAGCAGACAGAGCAGGTAGGCCAGCTGGATCCCGCGATGTTGACAAAACAGCGTCTTCACTTTCCATCCAACAAATATTAACAGGAAGCAAAACCCGCTCCCGTGGGGCCAAAGATCGGATACCCAGAGTCGGGAAAATCCTACTCCACCATGGCAAAAATCCTCAAGCACTCCGTTTCCTCAGCCAGGCCTGAACACCAGCCCTGCAACTCTGCCTTCTTCTTCTACCCCGGGGCTTGGCTAGCAGCAAGTACTCCGATGGTAGCGCAGGGCACTCAAAGATCGGAGGGAAAGACTCTGCATCCTTATCTCTGGTAATACCGCCGTTTTCCATATGCTCCTTAATGCGAAATTACGTGTCCCAGTCATAAGTTAAAACAGCTGACACACAAGCTTCTTCTAAAAAGGCCAATAAAACAACATAAAACAGGAGAAAAACAACAACCACACGAGAAAGCAAAAAAGCGGCGGCAAAGCCAGTCAAGGCACCATCTTGTCTCCAGAAAACACGCACAAATCATCTTATGATTATCTTAACTTTTCTACTTTATGCATTCTGCCATAGAATTTTAATAATTCTCCTCTCTCTTCGAACTTCTCTTGCTGTTTCTTGTAAACCTTCTTGCTGTTCTTGTGGGAATTCTAACTGAAAAGAGACAATTTGTTAAATAGTCTACTGCAGCCCTTCTTGTAAGGTTTCTGATGCCAGATCCTCAGAGGCCAGTTCTACTGTTATGGCCTGTGTTTCTTGTGCTTTTTGGTTCTCTCTGGGACCCATTTTTACAGGCTTGTCGACAAGGCTCATGAATACACTGAAAGACTTTACTAATTGACCTGAGACTTGTTTGCACTTACCTGACTTGTACCTACCTTGACCTGACTTAACATTTGACTCAGATATACCCTAAAGAAAGTGAGACATGACTGGGACTTGACTTGAGACTAGATTTTGACTGGTCCTGGAGAACTTGGGTCCAGACTGGAGATTTGTACAATTTCAGTTTCTCCTGCAGCCTGAGTGGACTTAGTTCATCAGATGATTGGCAGGTCTCCTAACCTGACTATTAGATCATCGCTTTTCCCTCCACTGACCTCAAACTGTTGCTGTCATGATGTGATCTGTATGTTTTTGTGTTACCAGGCAGAAGGGCACTCAGGTGTTGCACTACAACACCAGCATTAACCGAATGTTTCTGGAGGTTAATGTCAGCAACACCCCATCACATGGCAAGACAGCAGAGGATGCTCATAACACCGTTTTGAATGTTAGCATCCCACCATCACTCATTTACTCTGGAGTTCGAACAAAAGTGTTGAAGGTAAAGGTCTTTTGTCATCCAGCTTTCATAAAGCAGAAAACAAGACAATAGCCAAATCATAATTCCACATTTCCCTCACTTGTGTCTTTTCCTTGCATCTTAGTCCTGCTGACATGTGAGGAAAAAAATGCAAGGAGAAACTGCAAAGAGAGAGGAACCAAGGAAACATTTTAACTGACATCAGAATTAGAATAGGCTTTATTGTCATTACACGTGGGAGTACAATGAAAAAATGGGTACTCTACTCAACAACAGTGCAATGTAAAACTTTACAATTCAAAGTACAATAAATATACATGTGAGGTCCTTTTCCTCTGATCCTGCATGCAAAGCGTCCAATCACAAACTGATCTGTGATAAAGGGGCATGTCAGTCTGTAACAGACTTCCATGCAGGGCGCACTCATGTATCCTCTGTCCTTGCTCCTCCTGGCGGACTGGAATTACTTTGGGGTTAAGTGAGGATGGAGGGCCAAGGAACCATAAAATAAGGGAACAGAGATTCACCTAATGTTAATGTAGAGCAGCAAGTCTTCTGCAGATGAGTGGTTATTTGTACTGAAGCTGTGAACTCGCTATGGATGTAGGCAGAGCAGAGTAGTGGACTGAGTGTTCAGCCTTGAAGGCAGCAAATGGTACAGTATGGAAAGCTAAATTGGGAGGGTTTAATAGAAACACTTAGTCTGGTTCTAAATGTTCAAGGATTTAGGGGAGAGAAGGAAAAATGAGACTCACTAATCTTCCAATAAGTGGATCCATGCTCCCACCTCAAACATTTTACTCTGAGCTTTTTGATTTGTTTCCATAAGATTAAAACAAGCAAAACTTGCAATTGAGTAACATGTATCAACTGAGCACCTGTTTTTTGTCTTTGATGTACAACTGTTTCTTTTAAATAAAAGTTTGTTTTAAATGGACTAAAGTGACCGGACAATTAAATAGTAATTAGTGTTAAAGAGCTTGAAGGAAAAGGCCCAGATCCACTAGAACTATTGCCTTGTCACTGGCAGTGAGAGACTCAAAGGACTTCCATTTGCTTATAATCATTTGGCTTGGACCAGAACTAAAGCACTTGATTCTGGACTCCAGTTGGACTTGAGACCTGACTTTACATTATCCTCAAAGACTTGGGACTTGACTTGATTTGAACTGACCTAGGGTTGACTTAAGAGTCAACCTAATGTGTCGCCAAGTACTTGCTCAAGAGGGATCTTTTGGGGTTTTCTCTATGTAAAGTGCCTTGTTGATTTTTGTTGTGATTTGGCTTTTCAAATAAAATTTACTTGAATTAAAAAAATGTCTGGGACCTACTCCAAGTCTTGACTTAGATATTTGCCCAAAGGAATCTGAGACATGAACTAACTTGACTTGGAAATACCCTTAAGGAGTTGACTGACTGACTTGAGATTTGCAGGACCTGGGAATTCAGTTGAGGCTGGATTTGGACTAGACTTGAAGGGATTTGACTTGAACCAGTTACAGTCATCCTGTTGGTTTGTGTTTCAGGAGGGCATCAGAGCAGCAGTGGAGTGCTCTGTTGAAGACTCTGTTCTTCTGTGTGAGATGGGGAACCCGTTCAAAAGCAACCAGAAGGTACAGAACATGACTGCTAACACTGTAGTAATACCAGTACTGTTATCTGTACTACTGTCTGTACTGCAGACCTGCTGAGACTATGCCGATCAGTCTTCCCATTCTTTATTTCAGGTTCAGGTGCTGATCATATTTCAGTCTGAGATCAGTTTGGACACCAGAGAGATTCAGGCTCTGCTGCAGCTGTCCACGTAGGACACTCATGGACACACAATTCTCTACACGACACACCTTTCTAACTCGTTTTACAGACACATATTCAGTTGTTTTTCTGTGTGTCTGCAGGCTCAGTGAGCAATCAGATCTGTCTCCGGTCTCTGTCTCCATGTTGGTGGAGTATTTGTTGCAGACATCCCTTGCTCTGTAAGTACAGACACAGTATACTGCTGCTTAGTCCAAGGTGATTAGCCCACATACTAACTTCGTAGTCACTGTAGATAAAGAGCCACATTATCTGGAATGGAGTAGTGTTAACGTTGGATTTGAATGTAACTGCCAGAGGTGATGCATTTTCTGGGGCGCCTGTGGCCCGGGGTAGAGCGGTCACCACCCAAATGGAAGGTTAGGTGCTGCTCTAGCCATCGGGAGCAACTTGGGTTTCAGTGTCTTGCCCAAGGACACTTCAACATGTGGACTGGGAGAATGGAAATCGAACCTTGCAAGGACAATGCCGCCATTGGTGTGTGTATGAGTTGGCTGCCTCAGTTTTGTATCAGAGACAAATTCATTGTGTGTGTAACATACTTGGCCAGTAAAAGTGTTTATCGTTATGATGATTGAGCATTTGGGTCATCTGGTCAGGTACTTCCCAGAAGTCCCCAGACCAAGATGTAAGCAGTGGGTTGGTTGTGCTTTCTCTGTAGCTGCTCCTAAATTGTGGAACGCTCTTACTCCTGTACTTCGCTCTGTCACTGACCTTGCTCTCTTTAAATCTGAACTAAAGACTTATTTACTTACCTTGCCTTTCAGCTCCTAGTACAGTTTTATTGGTTTTATGAGTGCTGATCACTTTTATTTGTATCAGTGTGTTATGGTGTCAATGTTTTAATGTTGACTAAAGAAATCAATATAAGATTGTGTCATGATGAAAGTTGTGACTTACACCCCTAGATTGTTCACGTTTATTAGCAGGAGCAAGATAACATCACTGTCAGAAAAATCCCTGTAACTGTGATCAGAAGTCAGAGGCTGACGTCAACGGGTTTTCCCACTGAATTGGTCGTATTTACAGTTTAAACAGTATGATATGAAGATGTACTGACCTCTGACCTGTGGACATTATTGGTTGATTCTCCTGATAGAATTGATCGACCAGGCTCTGCCTTCTTCAGTGGTCATGTGACTGGTGAGTCAGCCATGAAGAAGACAGAGGACATTGGCAGCCTGCTGCTCTTCACCTTCCAGGTTTGGCTAATATCAGTCTGACTGTTGAAGCAGCATAAACAGAACAGGTGTAACCATGGCCTTCTCTGATAGGTGCAGGTCAGCGGGAAGCCTCTGGGTTACCTGGGCAACCTGGTGGTGGAGCTTGATTGGCCAATGGAGGTGTCCAATGAGAAGTGGCTGCTGTACCTCACAGAGATTCAAGTGACTGGCACCTCAGAGCCTTGCTGTAATCCACCCGGCAACATTGTCAACCCTCTCAACCTTACGGTAACCATGGCAACACAGGGTTTAACCCTAATACCTAACCCTTAAGACACTGAACCTGTATATTTACAGGTATTGCACTGAGGGTTATTGTCCACTCATACTGTCATGGGTTAGGGTTAGGTTAGGTTTAAAGGAATAGTCCGCGATTCTAGCAAAAGAATGTTTACATTTTGACCAGCACCTACACAAATTCACGTTGTTTCTGTTAGGATTTCGTAACTATGTCCATCAGAACTAACGAACATGCATTACCACAGCACCTATACCAACGACTGGAGGAAGAGCTGATGTCAAAGGAAATGTGTCAGGATACTAGTGACTGGGGAACAAACTGTGGCTACTCAACCTCACACTCCACTGTTATTCTCTCACAGCAATCTGCAGCTGCTATAGCTGAAGTCAGAACAACCACATATGTTTGGAAGCTAACAATTTAGCAGAATGTCCTGGTTGATTTAGCAAACAGGCTAATGTGACACAGGTAATGGAGCATAATTATTTAATGTAACATTACCACAGCTATTACCTACTTGAACAACATCACAATGATCGTAATGATTTTCAGTGGCACATAAACAACTTACCCACCTGCCTAGCATAAAAAGAGCCCCTCTGCGTCCCTCTTCATCCCTTTGAAATCCAGGACCTTAAACAGCCACAACTTGGCCACTTTCACTAAGCTCTACTGTTTTCCTGTGCCTTTGTTTGACTGCTTTCTCCACTGTAACTGCTAGATTATCGTGTTTCTGAACTTTTGCTTTGTCCATTTGTTTTTTTTAATTCCATTTTATGTATTTGAGCTCATTTTAACAATGTTTTATCCTCATTTTATCTTCACTGATTTTACTCTGGTTTTAATTCTTATTGGTTTTAACACTGTTACTCTTTTATTTTGCCTGTGTAAAGCAGTTTGAATTGCCTCTGTGTATGAAATGTGCTAAATAAATAAAGCCTTGTCTTGCTTCAGCTGTTAAAGGAAGAGGAGGAGAAGAGGGAGAGGAGGAGTCTGGAGGAAGAGGAAGCAGAGGAGGAGGGGAAGACTCAGAAAACTCTACCTGTCCTCCACCTGCAGGGACAGAAGAAGAAGTCCTACACTCTGGTACAAAGACATGGGAATGCCCTGGAGTTTAAAAAAAGAAACACAATGAGTGAAAACTGTTGAAAAATGAGGAAATGGGGGATGTTTTTGTAAAGCTCACACATTTAGTCAAATGGTTCAGAGTGTTTTATAATTCAGGTTGTATTTAAATTTTGTTTAAAGAATTAGGTAACAAATTATAAATCGTGTGTTTGTACTTACAGGACTGTGTGGACGGAGCTAAATGTGTGACGTTTGTCTGTCCGTTGACCAACATGAACAACACTGCGACTTTGACTGTCAGAGCCAGGCTGTGGAACTCCACCATGATTGAGGTATATTCTAATTCACCTTTAAACTATTGTCACTGACTCTACCCTGCTTTGTTAGCCTCTGTTAGCTCTTAGTTTGGTTTGCTGGGACATTTTCTTTGTGAATTATTCATGACTCTAAACAGCCGCTGTCCACGACCCACTCAGTAGCAAACAGCAGACAGAGCCAGGCAGAGACCAGCTGAATGACTGGGTCTAGTTTCTGACTCAGATTAGATGTCAGTCAGAGAGTCAGCTGTTCTGAACAGGCAGCCAGAGTGCTCAGGTGAGGAGAGCACTTCTCTGCATTGAGGCAGCACTCAGTCTTTTTTTTTTCTTTGCATGAAGAGAGACACAAAAGTTAGCTTTTTTCTACAGCTCTGTGGGAATCGATGGGCTTTGGCATGCATTGTGCTTGCAGCTAAGGGTAAGTCCAGCTTTGTTGTTATGTAACATTAAGTGTCGATTCATTATTTAAGGAATTTGGGGAGGGGGGATGGTTAATGGTGTGTGTATGTTTAAAAGATTCAGATATTAAAACAAATAAGCATTATAGTGATGTTATGCTATATTTTCCTTGGTTTGCTAATATTGGCTTTAGTGCTTTGTGTTTGTCCGCTGCCATATTATTATAGCTTGTGTAGGTAGAGTGGTAACAGTAGTGACAGTAACCTACCTACATACACAGGCCTCCCATCATTGTAAAGGACCAGTGTATATAATAAAGATTCATCTGTGGAGCAAAACCCTGGACTGATGCCCCACAATAATCACAGCCTTATAACCAGCATCTGAGGCAAAAGTAATTTCTGTGGTACATGAGCTGTGGGACATAAGTTTAAAAGGTTTGTCAGAAGTGTGTGTTTGATGTAGGACTACGGCAACGCGAACCATGTGTTGGTTCGAGGCCGGGCGACTCTGAGGCTGCAGACTGACAAACCGACCATCATCATGCAATCTCACAGCACAGAGGTACCGTAGTGTTGCATGAACAAACAAAATGCTGATGACTCGTCTTAGTCGTACCACTGGTGAAAGAAGTGATTTTTAATTTGCTCATGGTTTTAAATTCCTGTGGTACCTTCTGTGATTCTCTGCAGATTGTGGTCTCCATTTATCCAGAGCTGGGGCAGCAGGTGAGCTCCGGCGCCCCCTTGTGGATCATCAAGGTGTCTGTCCTGGCTGGAGTCTTGCTGTTTGCTCTGATCTGCCTGATACTCTGGAAGGTAAACTGGGCTGTAACGTCTCTTATGAGACCAGACTAAATATTACATCCTATGACTGGTTGTAGTTTTAGGGTCTAACTGTTCCAAAGCTCACAGAAGTGGGATTGTTTTTGTTTGCTTTCTCATCACCATAAAACCATGGATTTGTAGTCATCATCACCTCCTGGTTGGTAAAGTGTTGTTATGTTGCCCCCTGCTGTTCAGTGTGGGTTCTTCAGAAGGGCCAGCACCAGAGAGCTGTATGAGGCAAAGACCCACAAGGCCCACATAAAGAGCCAGCCGTCGGAGAGTGAGAGGCTGCCTGAGGAGCACTAAGACTGGGCGCAGTGCTGCCAGAGAGCCCTGCTGTAAGGACCTGCTGCCAACTGACTTACTGTTTCTGAATGCTCGCTGACTGGTTAACTTTCTGGCTGTTTTCTCCTCAGCTCCAGAGGTTATGGTTTCTTTGGACTAACTTCTCTATCTCCTGTTTCCCTTTTTCCAGCCCCTCTGACTCATCCTGCATCTGATCATTCAGCTTGTCAGTAACTCTGCTGATCTATAGTTGTGTTTCTTTCCCTGCTGCCTTTTAACTTAGTCAGGCATTACGTCTTTTAGTTAGTTTAGTGCAGTTCTGTGTCAAAGTTTCACAGTAGCAAATGACTCTGGGACCAGTCACTGATGTATAAGAAGTAGTGCTGTCAGTTGATTATATGTACAGTCTTTGGATGCAATGTGAATTATTTTAAGATGACCCTCATCCTCCAAAGTGTTAATCGGCCTGCGAGCTGTAGCTGCCCATTTAGCCATCGCTGTTGACCATTTGTTGCTTGTAGTTGTCCAGGCGTCTCCATTGCAAACTATCCAGCGTGGTTTGGCTTTGGTGAGGGGTGAGGGGGCTCTCTGCATCAGCTGTGTGCTTAGCCACTAAGTGGTACCTGGGACTCTGTGTACTCTGGTGGTAACACAGTTCACATCAACAGTAAACGTCCTGTCGAGAGAACCATCTTGCAGAGCTTTGAAGCTGAACTGAACATTCAGAAGACCCTTTTCTTTATCCATTTCTGCTGTTGCAGCGCTTCCTGATTTCCCCAACTATGGGGCAGGCCAAGGGTCATAATCACTGAAAGTGTGTGCTTTATGCGCATGTCAAAATAATAAATGGCATTAAAAGGAATATGCGTAAACTTGTTTGACACCCATAATAAGAAGCCTTTAAAGGTGTAGCTGCTGGAGGTGGCACTGCTTTAACTAGTTTAACCTGCCTCCAGTGTTATTGGACAAAGTCCACACAACTGAAATGCCAACTCACTTCATTTGTCCACACTGTGTTCACACTTCTTCTGGTGTGTTGACCTCAGTTTATAAGGATGCTGCACATTTGACAAGTAGAACAAAATTAAATGCAAGTTATAAGTAGAAAGGTAGCAAACTGAAAAATAATAAACATCAAACAAACATCCTATTCAGCTGTTCTCCTGTTTACCGGTTCAGCTGTTCTCCTGTTTCCCGGTTCACCCGTTCTCCTGTTTCCCAGTGCACCCGATCTCCTGTTTACCGGTTCACCTGTTCTTCTGTGCAGCTGCCTCTGTCTCCTACTGCTGAGTGGACCTAAAAGGTTTCTAACATTTTCTCCTGTGTCTTGCAGTGTGGTTTCTTTGTGCATCAGACGGCATGGCACACTGTGGAGCTCCACCAGGGGAGGATTATGGGTAAAAACAAGCAGCAGTACACAGACTCAGATGGTTTCCTGATCCAGGAGCATGTCTCCTCATACAGAAACAGGAAGTCACCAAAACACTGGGTCACCTCTTGGACCGAGACTCGCTGAGAGACTAATTATATCCACAGAAACACATCCTGAGCTGGACCAGACCACACTAGACCACACTAGACCAGATCAAGCTGCACCAAAACTAAACAAAACTCAGACCAAACTGTGCCAAACCAAACAGGAAAACACACTGCCAGACTGTAAGTGTGTGTCTGTCATTATGAGGAAACCTTGTAACCTGTTTACATTCAATTCTGTTTGTTGCAAAATGGAGATATGAGGTTTTCAGCAGATGGGAGGGTTCATTCTGATTCAAATGTTTCCCTTTGTATTTGGAACATTTTGCTTTTTGTGTGTGAATATTTCCCAGCATGCAGCTGGCCTCCAAGTAAGGTATGAACAAAATAATATTGATTTTGTGGACAAAATTAAACAGGAACAACTTGTCCCTTCCTGGCACATTAATCACATCGTCCGTATCCCAATTGTAGATACTAGATGTGACACAGCACCCCCAAGCTTCCAGTGGTCACTTGTGGTACTGCAGACAAAAACAAATTCACAGCTCGGGTTCCCCCTTGCTATTAAAGAGATGCTCCAACTGCAAACAAGTTCAGTTATTACTCTGTGTTTTGGATCATTTTAATTCATTAAGGTTTTATATGTGTAAAAGTTTCTCAGCTTTTTAAATCTGTTTTTTGGCTTAAGCACTCTACAAGAAATGTTCATCCAGGTGACTGGGCATCATTTTGGAGTCTTGTATCCAGTTCATGGTCTAGATAAGGACAGTAACAGACTCCAATTTGTTCACTGGAAAGGTTTACTTTATCTTATTCTTTATTTGCCAATGTCAGTATTCAGTTGAGATTGGTCATTCAGCCCATAAACTGGCTTCATATACACACATTTTCCTTTTCTAGATCAACTATCTTAAGTTAAGATAACTGTACCAGGAAAGATAGATTTAATGTGTAAACACAGTAGCTGTTCAGATAACAAGAAGTGAATCCATCTGAAGATTGATTGATTAATTGATGGTCTGGTGCATAATCAGATGATGTGAACAGGACTCATAGTTAAACAGCAGTATGCTCCTATAAGAAACATGTATTCCAGCAGGTCATTGTCAACAGTGTTATGCTTCAGTGTTGCTTTCAAGGGCTCCTCATAAACTCCTTGCTCTCTGTTCATAAAGTTGTAAGTAAAAACATTTGTTGCTTTCAGGTGCTGCAGGATCCTGCAACAAAATTACTGTCGTTGGATATTCCACTAAACAAGTCTTTGTACCATGTTCACTGTACTGCCTGATTGTGGTTTTATATAATTGTGATATTTGTAACAGCACATGAAAGCAGCATCAGGTTGTATGATAAACCTTGTGCCTGTTTCAGTTTGTGTGGATGTGGCTTTTAATCACCGTGGTGAACTGTTGTTAGTGGTTTTTCAGTATATTGATGATATTAAAGTATTTTTTGATAGTTTGCTGGTGTGTCCGTTACCTGCCACAGTGCATTTAGGGGTTGTCTGTAAATCACAGCTGTTGTGTTGCACCACTCCATCAGGTCTGATGCTCCGTTAAATCGATGTGACGTTGGAGAGATGTGAATCCATGATGCTGCTGATTGGCTGAAATTATTTAGAACAGATTCTAAACTGATCATAGATCAGCAAACAGACGTCAGTGAAAACCTGTTTTTACTGTCTGATCCAACATGGCTGCTCAGTGTCTGCTACACAGGGCCACTCCTTTCTGGTTGATTCCTTTTTTTAAATTAATTTGTCCATGTTGGGTTTGGGGCTGTTTCTGATTCATATGTGACCTGTGGAGACCGCGAACAAAAGTGTCTGAGACAATTTACTTCAAACTCATACACTGTAGAGCTCAGTCAGACTGGGTGCAATGTGAGCAGTGTGTGAACTGAGCTGGCTGCCAGCTAACAGAGCATTTCAGAGTCCCTTACAAAACGAAGCCTAGTTATTTAATCAGAGTTTTGTGTGTCCCCAGTGTTAGTGCTCAGCTGCTCATCAGATGTTTTAACCATCACAACATGTTCAGGCTGGAGACGCAGCAGGTTTGTGGCTGTGTGCTGTAAGGTTTTGATTTGATTTATTTATTCTTTCAAGCATATAAAACAGTTGATATAACAACACCCATTTTTACACACAATCCAGTATCAATTTGCTTATACCTAGTACATGCTTGAACAGAGTAGGAAGAAGTCAGACTTATCCAGTCCTACCCCATGACATCATCTTACCATCATTTTAGTGGAATCAGAGTTTCTGTTCAAAAGAGAATAACAGACTGGTCAGCGTGTACGTGATGCTGAATTTATTGTAACAAGTAAACAGAGCAAATGTGCATTAGCTGCAAGTAGCATCAACTGTATATTCAGATAAAAGGGAGGCGTCTTACTGATATGTAAAAAATGAGACAAGTAGTTTCCTATGTTACAGAGACTAAAGCCAACATATACTCACTGTAATGTCTGTGAATTCAGAATTTGGTTTAATATATTGGTCTGTGCTGTAGACTTCCACTGTAAAAACTACTAAAACAACACCAGTGAGCCACATCGCTGCACTGGGTACATCTTATTTAAAAAAACAAAAATGGCTAAAAACAGCCTTTATTTTGGACAGTCTCTGAAGTAAGAGTCAGCTGTGTGTGTGTGATCCCTGCTCTGATTGCACTACTCTGCCAGATTCTCACACTGCACATAACAGAATACCCCATGAATGTCACCAAGTGCAACAGTGTGGCTCACTGGTATATATTTTTTGCTATTTTGTTCTGAACATATCTGATATGAGATTTCCAGGAGAATTTGTCATCAACTATGACACCTAGAAATTTAATTTCAGGTACTCGTTCTATTTTAGCTCCCTCAATATTCAATTGAATTTCATTGTCTAACCTGCAATTACCAAATACCATGAATTTAGTTTTATCCATATTCAGAGATACTATATTACTGCCACACCATTTCTTTATCTTCTCAAGTTCCTGTGTAACCCATCCAGAGAGTTGCTGTAGGTTTGTTTCTGTGCGACACAATTCATGATGACTGTTCATGTCACCGACATGAGATGGCAGTGTTATGGTGAACGATGGCCAGAGTGTACGGTCTGCTCAGTGTTTGTCTGATCTGCAGAAGCAGCATCATGTCATCCATGTAGGCTTGTCTCATGGTCTCCAGGGCTGATGTGATCTTTGGATTCAAATAAAATCATGTCTTCATCTTACATACAGTAATTATTGAACTTTTACTTTTCATCTTTCATAATTATTCAACATTTTTTCAACTTCCACAGTTGTTCAGCATTTCTTCTCAACCTTCAGTTGTTTCAGCAATTGATTTCAGACATCTGAGCGTTTTCAGGGCGATCCTTCAGCATCCACACGCATTTTTGACAAGAAATGCATTTCTTTAGTTCTTGTTACTCTGAATTAAAACACACAATTCCCTTCTCATGACGCCTCACATGCAC